TGTGATTAAGCCATTCAATTATATTCTTCAATCTGATATCAGAGCTTGGTTGAGCCTGTGATTGATGTGCCGTTTGTCTGGCTATTGTATGTTGTGGTCCAAGAGGGTGTTGGAATGTGTCCCACATCATCTGGAGTTGCTCCATCTATGCTGGTTATAAAGCTCCAGTTTCCCTCTCCTTAATACTTGAGTTTTAAGGAAAAGTGTGGGCTGAGCTTTTCAATTGTGTATTGTATGTAAGTTTTGATAGCCTTTTGTATTATGGCCAAATGATGTACTGGACATGTATATGTATCTCATGGGCGCTACATAAGAAAGGGGGTAAAATGTATTATGGCCAAATGGTGTACTAGATATGTATATGTCTCCCATAGGTTTTGTTTGATAGCCACATAAAGAAGGTGGGATTGGAGATGATATCTATTGGGCGCTACATGTCCCTTACCAAACCAAATCAAACCAAGCCTTAAGTCCCATCAAATGGGGTCAGCTATATAAATCATTTTTCTCCACGCGGCTCTATCAAAGACCATTTCGTTAGTCAAATTAAGTAAGATCATATCTCTCTTTACTACACTAGCCAACGTCAAACTAGGTCTACCCCATCCCCCAACACTTCTATCCATCATCACTGCATCGCATCTCTTCACTATTGCATCTGTTGGTCTCCGTTGAATATGACCAAACCATCTCAATCTATTCTCTCACAACTTATCTTCTATCGGTACTTATGTTACACGGACTCGACACTTTGGGGCGAAGTACCCGTTTCGACACGACACGGGTGTGGGTATGGGATCTATGTCGAATTTGCCTCTTCTCTCTCAGACACAACTAATCAAAAAGGAACAAAGTTGAGATAGTTACATTGATGTATGGGTTCAAGATCTTGATCTGTGTCTTTCGATCTTCTTCTCTATCTCGATCTCCTTTTCTCTCTCGATCTTCTTTTCTCTCTCTATCACGATCTCCTTCTCTCCCTCAATATCTTTCTCGATCGTGCTATGTATGTGAGAGAGAAGAGAAGAGACTGACTCCATCTTGTGCTGCTGTGCATTTGAAAGAGAAGCGAAGAGGAGAAGGTTTGACTAGCTGCTGCTTGTTTTGTATCAAACCCTAATGGGCTAGACCAAATAAATAAATAAAAAGCTTAGGCCTATTGGCTAGTTAATATTATACTCCCTCTGTCCCAAAATATTAGTCCCTTATTCCATTTTTTATTGTCCCAAAATATTAGTCCCTCTTCCAAAAATAATATAAATTTTCTATTTTGCCCTTCTTTTAAATTAATAAACAATATAAAAAGTACAATTATTACATTGATATTCCCAAAAAATGTACTATCAAAAGGGTAATTTTGGAAAATTAACTTTTTTCAAATGCAATAATTGTACTACCAAAAAAAGTTAGATTCCCCAAAGGGACCATTATTTTGGGACGGAGGGAGTAAACCCTAATGGGCTGAACCCAAAAAATTAAATAGAAAGCTTGGGCCTATTGAGTGGTTTGTATCATAGTAATTTATATTATAAACCATAATGGGCTGGACCCAAAAAAATAAATAAAAGGCTTAGGCCTATTGGCTGGTTTGTATCATAATAAACCCTGATGGGTTGGATCCAAATAAATAAATAAAATATTTGGGCCTATTTGTAAACTCTGTTCAACAATAACATGGGTTGTTTTATGACTTATCCACATGTTTGATCCTATTTATAAAAAAATTGTTGGGTCAACTTTTTTTAACTTACCTTCATATAATAAATATATTTAAAAAATAATTATTTAACTCATCTTTATATAATAAATATATTTTTTAAATAACTATTTAACGTATCCCCGTACCCATATCCACATTTGGATCCACGACCCCCAGAAACGCACCCGCACCCGATACCACACTTGAATCCGTGTAACGTAGATCAATACTACTCCTACCCATTCCCAAATATACTCATTCTTAATTCTATCTTTTCTAGTCTTGCCACACATCCATCTTAGCAACACTCATCTTATCTACATGTTGTTTCTTGATTGCCCAACACTCCGTCCCATACAATATCGCTCGTCTAATAGTCATTCTATAGAACTTTCATTTTAGTCTAGTGGGTACTCATTTATCGCATAGTACCCCAGACGCACTTCGCCACTTAAGTCACCCCGCCTTAATTCTATGGACCACATCCGCATCAATCTCCCCCGCTGTTGTGATAATCGACCCTAAATAACGAAAATATTCACTCTTAGATAGTTCTTGCTTCTCAATCTTCACTTCTCCTCTGTTTTCATTGTTACTCTTACTAAATTTACACTCCATGTATGTCGTCTTAGTTCTGTTTATCCGAAATTCTTTAGATTCATGTGTTTCTATCTAAATCTCCAACTTTGTGTTAACTCATTCTCTAGTCTCATCCATTAACACGATATCATCTGCAAAAAGCATATATCATGATACATCATCGTAAATATTTCTCGTCAACTTATCCATAACTAAAGCAAAAAGATAAGGACTTAAGGTAGATTCTTGGAATAACCCTAAAGTAATTGAAAATTCATTTGACTCTCCAGTAAGCAATCTAATAGTGGTCACCACCCTTTCATACATGTCCCTAATCACATCAATGTAACTTTTTGTCACCCCTTTTTTCTCTAACACCCACCAGATTATATCCCGAGACACTCTATCATATGTTTCCTCGAGATCGATAAACACCATATGAATATCTTTTTTCTTTTCTCTATACTTTTCTATTACTCTCCTCAAAAGATAGATCGCTTCCATTGCTGACCTACCAGGCATAAACCCAAATTGATTTTCTGACACCTCTATTATATCTCGCAATCGACATTCCATCACCCTCTCCTACACTTTCATTATATGACACATTAGCTTGATTCCTCTATAGTTGTTGCAAATCTGGACATCTCCTCTATTCTTATAGATTAGCACTAAAATACTCTTCCTCCATTCATCTAGCATGTTTCTAGTTAACAAAATCTTGCTAAACAACCTAGTCAACCAAGCAACTCTCTTCTTACCCAAACACTTCCAAGCTTCAATAAGGATATAATTGGGTCCTAAAGCCTTATTTAATTTTATCTTCTTAAGTGCAATTTCCACTTTAAAGTTCCTAATCCTGCGATAGAACCTATAGTCTTAGTTTTCCTTATTACAGGCTATTTCCTCCCCTATTAATGTACCTCCATGTTCCTCATATAACAGTTTCTCAAAATAGTTCTTCCATCTCTCCTTAATCTCTTCATCCTTTACCAATACCTTAGAATCCCCACTCTTGGTACACTTAACTTGATTAAAATCTCTTGTTTTCCTCTCCCTTATCTTAGCAAGTTTGTATACCCTCTTCTCTCCCTCCTTACTATCTAGTCTAATGTATAGGTCATCATAAACTTTCAACTTAGCCTCTTTCACTACTTTCTTGACCTCCTTATTAGCCAATCTATAGCTCTTAAGGTTTTTCTCAATTCTATCGTTCTACTACTTTTTAAAGCACTCTTTTTTCGCCTTCACTACTACTTGAACCTCTTCCCTCCACCACCAAGTTTCCCTAAAGTTGGGTCCCTTTCCTTTCTTTTCGCTACATATCCCTTGTTTGCAAAAAAGAAAAATAAAAATAAAATTGATATTGGATATCATACACAAATGGATAACATATCCTCCAAAATGGCAAGATATACGATACTAGAGGAGTTGTGGTATTGTAAATCTTGGGAGCTTCTATTTACACCATTCTTCTTTTGACACTCATTTCAAAAACATTAAAAATATTATTTCATCTCTTTACACCCCTTATAATTCCAAAAATAACCTCATCCCTAACCTTCTTCTTCTCTTTACATTTCTAATCTTCTAAACCCTAACCAACATCGACCATCATCTCCAACCACCATCCTAGCCCCTTCTCTATCTCCTCCGCCACCCCTCACACACTCTCCCAACACCACAACAACTCTCCAACCATTCCATTGGTGTGAAAAATGATGCTTTTGGGACTTTATTTTTTCTACGTTCAAGTTTTGTTACTCTCCCACCACTGCAACAACTCTCCAACCATTCCTTTGGAGTGAAAAATGACACTTTTGGGACTTTATTTTTTCTACCTTCAAGTTTTGTTCAGCCAACCAGGGCCAAACAAACTTTATTTGTTCAGCCGGACACACCCAAACAAATCAAGTTTGTTCCACTTTAGTAAAAACATTTAAAAATATTATTTCATCTCTTTACACCCCTTATAATTCCAAAAATAACCTCATCCCTAACCTTTTTCTTCTCTTTACATTTCTAATCTTCTAAACCCTAACCAACGTCGACCATCATCTCCAACCACCATCCTAGCCCCTTCTCTATCTCCTCCGCCACCCCTCACACACTCTCCCAACACCACAACAACTCTCCAACCATTCCATTGGTGTGAAAAATGATGCTTTTGGGACTTTATTTTTTCTACGTTCAAGTTTTGTTACTCTCCCACCACTGCAACAACTCTCCAACCATTCCTTTGGAGTGAAAAATGACACTTTTGGGACTTTATTTTTTCTACGTTCAGGTTTTGTTACTCTCCCACCAATGCAACTAGTCTCCAACCATTCCATTGGAGTATAAAAATGACACTTTTGGGACTTTATTTTTTCTACCTTCAAGTTTTGTTCAGCCAACCAGGGCCAAACAAACTTTATTTGTTCAGCCGGACACACCCAAACAAATCAAGTTTGTTCCACTTTAGTTGGCCGAACGGGCCAAAATTGATTAAGTTAGTCACGTTCAACCTTAGCAGTCCAAACAATGTCAAAATGCTCTGCTACCAAAGTCCGAACGATCTTAATTTGTTTGGCGAACTAGAGCCGAATGGAGTTTAGACTCCATTTTTTTCAAATAGCACAAAACTACAATAAAAATGATAGAAAAAGCTCTATGGTAAAACATAACTTCAAGCAAGAGATCTACGGTATCAAAGCATCAGATTAGACGAAAAGTCTCATACCTTAGGAATACGGAGAGGATTTTTTGAAGCATATTCACATAGTTTACTGATTTTTCGATCATTAGGTTCCTCCTCCTGCCAAAATATAAGAGAGAACATTCAATAATAGAGCAACTAAATTAATTTAATATGCATTTTTGAAAACCATAAAAATAAAGTTTCTAGAATATATAAATAAATAATAACTAAATGTTTAAATCAACATATGACCTAGTAGTTATGATGCTCAAAATGAAGTAATTTAAGTACTGAGAAAAATCCACCAATATGTTGAATATGCAGTTTCAAGTATAAGATAAGAATATCCATTAAAGGAGGAAAATTTATGAAAATAAAACTATCTAATACAGTGAATATCCAGTTCCCAGGGTAAGATGAAAAGATTACTTTTAAGGAGGAAAAAAATCATAATAAAACTATCTAAAACTAAGACATTAAGTATGAACTTACATTTAAAAACAAACATGGAACTGATAATGGGATTGCTTCTTCATAAAGAGAGAATCAGTAATCAACTGAAAAACAAAGTGAAAGAATTTTTTTTTTTTTAAAATAGACCAATGAATCCAAGATTACCGAATTATATTTTTCATGCGCTTAGTCTAAACTATGCTACAAAATGTTGGGCACAATTGATGTAGTGTAGTGATAATAAGAACAAAATATACTACTTTTGTTAAGTACATAGGGGGAAAAAGGGACTCTGAGATTGCTTCACCAGATTAAAATTTTCACAAAGAAAAAAGGAACTTTGAGACATGATGAATTCAGTCACATCCATTGCTATGTGGCTCACATTGCTATGTTTACATCTCTTGATCAAAGATGGAAGTCCGTTGAGTATGAAGGTGAAGATCTGAATGTTGTGAATGCATTTTTCTTTCTTTCTTTTCTTTTCTTTTTTTTTAAAAAAAAAAATTAAGGAAACTGTCTTTCACATAAGCCCTCAATACTAAATAACATACTATGCATCTTTCTATAGAACTGTCAGCCAAAAAAAGTTCCTTGATCAGCAAATTAAGTGTCAAGGGTTGCTTTCGTCTTGTATACCTGTGGTAGATTTTTTTTAATATATGTTTCTTGTACCTTTTGCCATCTTTGCTTTCTCACTGTATATTGTCCAGCACATGAAGTTTTGAAGGGGAGAAAAAAGCATTTGATATGAAAAAAATGCATATCATTGAAATGTTACCCACGAACTTCCTAATTCGTAATAAAAGATAAGGTCAGCTTTGGATACCTACTTTCCTACTTCACTGATCAAGTTCCTCTTCAACCTTTTAAACACTTGATAGTAAAACTAAAGCACCAAAAATTAATTCTCTCAAGTGTAAGTGTCCAGAGAAGGATGGAAGAGAATAGGGCAACTCTTAAATTTGCTCGTGAGTTCTATTTCTTTTCTCTAATTGACTAAAATTAACTTTAATTGAGCCTTCAACAATTAAGATACACTTATGATTTTATATCTCACAATTTAATCCTTCAACTAAACCTATGTCGAGTGGCTTAGTTTGTTCAACTTTTAGTTTCACCACTCGAATCTTTTCAATTCAATTCTATAAATTAATGTGCTGCTTTGGTAAATACGGTTATCCAATCAAATTAAAACTTTGGTATTCAATTAAGACATATAAGCAAGGTTTTAAAAAGCGGCCGCAACCGTTACGTATCGCCGTTACATAACGGTTGTGGTAGTTACCGCCACCCGTTACGGCCGCTTTTGCAGTGTGATTAAGATTCACAGGTGTATTGGTCGTAGCGGCTGTTATAGTGGTCGTAACGGTGCCGTAACGGCCGTAACGGCCTGTTACGCACCGTTACGTAACGGTTCCGAATTGCTTCTTTCGAAAAAATACAAAAAAAAAAAAAAAAAAGTTGAAAATGGGGGAAGAGAGATAGAGAGAGAAGAGGGAAGATGGAGGAACAAGAGATAGAGAGAGAGAATAGGGAAGATGAAGAACATGTTATTGATTTGTTGAAGTTGTAAGACCTATGCTATTCTATTCAGTTGCTACACTCAACCATTTTGTTTGTGTGTGTCTATCTATATATTGTTTAATAATAATAATAATAATAATAAGTGCGGTCATTATCTATTTGGCTTGATTAATATATATATATATATATTTAGGCTTTCATTTATTCTCTTATTTTTGTCATTGTTTATTTTATATATAATAGTTAGTGATTGATTTTTTTTATAATATAAAGTCATTAATTATTAAAATAAAATGTAAAAAACTAAGTTTATAGTGATTTAAAAATATGAAATATATTGGATCAAACTTAAAAGTTATAAAAATTGATCAATATTTATTTTAAAACCCAATAAATATGATCATGGAAAAAAAATGTGCGTATCGGTAAGTTTTTTTCAAATTGTGTGAAAAATAAAAAAAAATTCATGGTTCCGATTACTGCAACCGTTACGCTACGGCCTTTACACCCCGCAACCGCAACCGCGCCACCGCCACCGTTACGGCGACCGCAACCGCTTTTCAGAACCTTGCCAGTGTAAGTGTGACGAAAATTGATGTATATTAAAGAACTTCCACAACTCCCAAGGAGCAAGCTCTTCCAAGACTTGTGTTGACGAAATGAAGGCCTTCACTCAGTCACATAAGATGGTTAAACCCTTAGAGAAGTGTTGTGTAATTTTAAGGTTAAAATGATCTTTTGTATAAAATATATTATTTTTCTTAGTGATGGCTTGACAAGTGTGCATGCAATAAATAATAGTGTACAAAAATAATATATGCAGCTAGTAAAAAAATTAGAAAAATTATTAGAAGCCAAGTTGGGTTAAACTTCTCTAGCACATGGAGAATGTTTTTCGTCTATAAAAAACCAACTGCCTAAGAATAAAGAAGGTAAAGCTGCCTTATAAATAAAATAACTAGTTTCCATCAAATCTTTTGAGGCAGTTGGATAAGTCAATTAAGTTGGGTGAGTCAATTAAAATGGATGAGTTGGTTAAAAGCCTTATATATATTGCATTTTCATCCTTTAGGATAGTGTGTGAGAGTACTGGAAAAACTTGTCCTTGTTACATTACTATTTTACTGCCAAAATATTATTTTGAGAGTTTTTAGGCAAAGAAAAAGGGTATTTATTTGGTGAAACTTCGGGCTCAACCATATGTACAAAATTGGTGCGAGCCACACAATAGTCAGGTTGTTATATCCTAGAGGGAACAAGCCAAAAGATAATTTCTACTACATTGGTTTGTGGGTTTTGCCAATTGCAGAGGGCTTGAATCTCCTTTGAGAGAGGAAGAGAGATTTTCGTGTCTTGGCCTAATTTGTTTGTTACCAAAATTTTATATTTATTGTAATCTCGTTATCTTTATTTTTGGTGATTTCTAGCAATAGTTTAGACACTCAAATGGCCTTTGTTAATAGAAAATCCTAAATGGGAGTGATGAGGTAAAAACAGATGAACCTCCAACAGATAGTTAATGTAGCTTTTTGAAATCTGATCGAGGTTGGTCGACCAAACGTTGGGTAGGTAGAACCAAGCTTACTGGACTGGATCTCGGGACTTCTAATTGGTTAACCATATACATGTTGGCCGACCAAAAATAAGCTCCGAAAGGCTTCTAGATTGTCAATGTGCTTCCTCACGACATAAGTTTAGGTTTCTACCTAAGAATACAAATACAACTCATGAAATTGTCATCCTATGCTACAAGCCTACAACTATCATTCACATTAAGTTATCAAAAGTAAAACTAACTAAACAAAGCAACTCTGCTTTTAACAGGTATCTATATAAATTTGACATTTTGCACACTAATTTTAATCGTTGTTGGAGTAAGAAATGTGGAATAAAAAAAAAAAACAAACAATTAACTTGCCTCATTATGACAATCCGGGCATACTGAAAACAAATTATAGAGAAAAAATGTTCAAGGTGAGAACTAAAATAGTCCAAAAGGATTAGTAACTAATTTACACAATCTATTCCACTAGAATGTACAACATTCAAAATCATTTTGGGGTTATATCGATAAAACAAAGTAAAGTAAATGTCAATTCCCATTCAAAGCAAAACACATTATGATGACTGATAGCTCACAGTGCACCACCAATTCATAATTTAGCAAATGAACACAAACACCTTCTTAAATAAAATAAAAATATCGAGAATTTAAACAAAAAGCTAACCGGAGACCGAGGAAAGATATCGGCCAGCAACTTCTTGTACCGCTTAATAGGATGTCGCGACCTAGTACGAATTGAAGGACAAAGGAAACATAGGTTATCGCAAACCGGCATTATACCTTGCGAAATCACACCCATTTTATAAATCTTGGCAGAAAAATAAATATTAAAAAATAAAAAGTTAAAAATTCCCCCTCAAAATTCTCTCTTCGTCTGCCTCTTCCCTGATTGTATAACCAAACCCACCCAAAAAAAAATGCTGTGAAATTGCAGAACAAAGACAAAGAGCTTTAAAAGAAAAAAGGGTTAATAAGGGAATTGAAGAAGGAGAAAAAAATTGAGAATTTGATTGGATTTGAAATCTGGGTTTGGGAATGGGAATTGAGAGGATTTGGAAATGAAAGAAAGTATTTTGGGGAAAAGTAGAGCTAGCTCAGGGGATTTGGGGCCTGAGAGAGGAAGATCGGAGGTGGAAATGCAGAGAAAACTTTAAGCGCGAGAGCACCGGATCTCCGACATCCTCCAACGGCACAGAGAGAGAGAAGGAGAAGAGAGAGAAAGAGAGAGGAAATGAGAAAATGTGAAGCCTCTTTGAACTTATATTTGTACACTCTGTCCCGCCTATTTATACCGTTCTCATGATTACGGACATCTGCACCCTTTTTTTTGAAAAAATTAAAAAAAAAATCACTTCACCCCCTTCAAATTAGCGTAATTCTATGCATTCGCCCCTAAATTATAAGTGATTCTATTTATACCACAAATTTGTCCCTATACACCCTATTTTGAGTTACCCCCTTAACAAAAATATGAACTTTGATTTTCTCTTCTTATGCACACCATGATACCAAACATACCTTTATCATTAGATTCCAAACCTTTTAAAGCTTAACACAAATTATATTCTCAACCACCACATTTGGCTATCATAGGTATCGTTATTGTTACTTTATGTACCTCTAGTGATCCCCTCATTTTCTACTAGCAATGTCTCTCTTCCATAGCAACTTTCTCTCTCAACTCATTTTTATTGTTGTCATCTCTCTCCACAACTCTTCTATCTATAGACAAGCTCCCGCTATGACATATTTTTCTAATATCCTCTTCCACCAATAGACTCTCGCTATAATTCCCTTTCTTATGCTCTTTTTCTTTACCATGAAACCTTATTTCTCATTGTGACTCTTTTCGCTCACCACCGCAAACCATCCAGATCTAAGGTGTACAGAAAAAAAAAATGAAATCATAACAATCAAAGCCAAACCAATAGTGTATGTGCAGTTTCATAGCATCGATTCAATATCCAATGGTCAGATCCAAACAATCGAGGTTGAGTCAATGGCTTATGTTCCGTTTCTTTATATCGAACAGATAGTATTTGTTTGAAGATTAACATCGAATAGAATGATTGAAAAGAAATTGTGACGTCAAGAAAAAATGAAAAATAGGTAAAGGGGTTTGTAGTGGAAAATAAGGGCCACTGATGGAAAAATGAGACTAAGGAAGAGAAATTATAGTGAGAAAAATAAAGGGCCACCAAATAAGAAAAATGGTTGTGGGGAATTAGAGAAAGAAAAAAAAGAGTGAAGTGTTTCAGTATGATATAAAATGGCGTAGGGGACATCAGATATGAGTGGGTAATAAAGAGGAAGAGGCACAAGTGGTGAGCTTAACAAGTCGACAAAATGGTTGTAAATCGGTGAAGGTAGTAGAAAAATTAATTTGTAATGAAAAATTAAGGTTTAAATTGTTAATGTTTGTAATTTTCGATATGGACACAAATATAATTAACAAAAAGTGTAAGATAAGTGGCATTATCATTTTTAACAATGAAAAATTACATTTTATTGTCTTAACTGTTGGCCATTATCACTTTATCTTATCGACTAAGAATTGTTACAACATTTTACCCCATGATCCTTAATTTGTTTCAATTTCAACCTGGTGTTGACATTCTTTTATGAAGAAGACAGAAAAATGGTACGTAAACTGTTATAGGATGTTTATGAGGGATACCCGAGTGCGGCCGGTGGTTCAGATTCTCAATCTCCTGATCTAGTCTCACAAGTGCAATATAAAACGTAAATGAGAGTCTCGATTTAGCAACTTTTATAGAAAATCTATTTTATTACAAAATATTTTTCAGAAATTGACTACATCACCAGATCTCAAAGTCGCCACCTAATCTTTTGGAAAAACTTGGAAACCTGCGACTCGTGCTAAAGGCAACTGTTTGTCATAACCAAATTGTCTTAGTTTGGAAACTTAGGTATGAAAAGGGAAAAATGAATTGAGCACCTCCGCTTACCCGATCAAAGAATCAGCCTCTACTAAGTCATGATATGAGTTTTATAACCACTATATGCTCATTTTTCGATTATTTTAATAATTCTAACATCACTATGTGAAGCAAACAAGTCTAGATTGTATTACTCATTTTGATATGTTTTGATTTCATGTATTTTGAATAAATGTACAAGTTGGAGAAAATTGAGCCCACATACATAACAATCAGCATCATCCCAATTTAAGAAACACAACCTTCATCCACTAGCATTCATGAAGATATTCCAAATAGACAAGTAGCCACATGGTACAATGCTTGACATAGGGGTTGTTTGAAATGATCTAAATAAGTATATTTTTTTAACTTTTTACAAAAAGATGTGCAGAAAAACAAAGAGATGATATGACCCAAATAAGTGCATTTTATCTAAATAAGTGCACTTATTTAGTTTATGTCAAATAGTGCCTACTAAAATGGCATACACAATCGGGATGCTAAAATTAGATATGCTTACCTAGTACTCATCTATGGTAAGCCAAAAACAATATATTATAAACATATGCATGATCCTATATGCAAATAGCTAATGCAATACATACACAAGATGCAACTAAAGGCTTAGCTACTAATACGTGACATGTGAATCATCTCAAGGCATGAGATAATGCATAGAACCACGTTTCAAATGATAAATCCCACAAATGCAGATGAATCAGATCCGCATGCATGAAAAATATATGCAAGGCATGGATATGATAAATAAAACATGATGTTTATCAATCAAAAATGGAAAGCATAAAGATAAAAGTGATAAAAAAATATGGGGTTGGAAATTATTACAACAATGAATTGAATAGAAAGACATGGGGTTGGAAGTTATTACAACAACGAATTGATTCAGCCAAATTTGAGCTGAAGCTAACAAATCATTACAAAATATAAAGCAAAGTATAATACAGCTAGGGGTGTGTGTGGTACAGTTAGGACAGTTTGAGAGTAAAATTACAAACCAAATAGCAAATTGGTGGATTAGTGAAAATTGCGGTTTGAGCGGTTTTAGGCAGATTGACGAATTGAAAAATATTCTAATCAATTATCAAACATTTGCATAATATATAACACTAATTTGCATAATATTTTTTTATATATATAACATAAACTAATTTTGCATAATATGTTTCAGATATATAACTACTAATTTGTAATAAATTTCACATCTTAAATCTCTCTCACACTTATTTTTACTTTGATATTTCATTGGAAGTTAAAAATATATATGTATTAACTATAGTGGAGCAAAGCGGTTTGGAAGACAGATTATAAATTTTAAAAGAAATTACACTAACAGTCCCTATAGTTTGGGGCTTTTATCACTATGGTCCTTGGCTTTTCAATTGTAACACATTTGACCCTGCATTTTGAATTTGTTCCAAATAAGGACAATTGAAGATATCATTACTTAATTTCAATGGAAAAATCATCAATTTGATAAAATAATGTAAAATTGATAATTTTTTGGACATTTATTTATTTATTTATTTATTTATTTTTACCAAATTAATTTTTATTATATGTTTGGATGATGATCATGTAATGGGTGGTTGTTAAGATTTTAATGTGTAATCGATATATTTAATATAATATATATATATATATATATATATTTAACGCCATATCTGACTTTTGGAAAAATACAAACTAATTTAATGAAAATAAAACAACCACCCATTACATGATCATCATCCAAACACATAATAAAAATTAATTTGATAAAAAAAATAAATATCTAAAAGATTTATCAATTTTACATAATTTTATCTTTAATGAGTAGAAATAATTTTTAAAAATTCAAAAATATTTTTTTGACATTTTTTTTGTCAAATTAGTTTATATTTTATCAAATTGACGATTTTGCCCTTAAAATTAAGCAATGATGTTTTCAATTGTCCTTATTTGGAGCAAGATTCAAAATTCAGGGTCAAATATGTCGCAATTGAAAAATCAGGGACCAAAGTGATACAAGTCCCAAACTATAGAGACCGTTAGTGTAATTCGCCCAAATTTTAAAGTTTAATGCGCGGTTAGTGGATAGAGCGGTGAGGATTGATACGGATCGGTGTGGTTTTAGCGGATTGGGCAATATTTTTGCACAGTCCTAAATACAGAAGCCACAAATGCCTAGAAGATCACCCTCTAAAAATTGGCACGTTCTGCTTTGTTCTGACTGGAAAAGGTCAGTCGGCTGAATGAAAGATTTTCTGGCCGTATTGTTTTCCTGGCTGACCGGATAAAAGATCCGAGGGAACTCTGTTTTATATAGCATAACCAAAATAGAATAACAATACACCTTCCAAAGAATGCTTATGTTTTCTACCTCTTCCTCTCACATAGACATTCAAGGAAGAGGTAGATAAGCCTTAACCCTCATTTAACAACACAAGAAGCTATATACAATAGGATATTTACAACAATTTATTGAATGACGTAGAGATGGAGGTTGGAAGAAATTAAGCTCAAGAAATAAATGGAAACCTACATTTATCTCTTTGTGGATAAGGGTAAATTAATACTCAAATCCATGCTATTAATTTGAGAGAGTGGATTGCCACTATTTCTTGGCAGAAGCCTTGCTTTGAAAGTAAGAGATTCATCAAAGGTTATTGAAGACTTCTCTTCTTACTCATGGAACAAAGGTGTTACACCCATTTCCATGCTCAAAATGGATTGAGAAGAGAGCTTTCAACACCTTTGACCCAAAAGCTCTTACTTTGCTTCCAAGAAGATATCAACAAAAATAAAAGCTGACAACCTTCTCAACACCAAACCTCAAGAATCATCCAGCTAGTTCCATGTAACAATTACAACTACTCATCAGAGTTGAGTATGGATTGAAGCATATGAACCAATATACTTGGATGATGAGAAAGGTAATAAGAAAGTATATCAAAATAAAAGAAATTAGATTACATAAACAAACTTGTGGATGGGTAGCTACTTTCTAACTTCCTCCACATCCACAAGGTTCCCATCACATGATTACAACACAATAGCAAAAAAATATAAAGACTAATAAGGAAGAGATAGAGAGAAAATGTGAGAATAATTCAAAAGTTCACCTCTTGAAGAGAGATTGAGCTTTTTGGTTGTCAAACTATATCCTTGCACTCGCAAAGTTCTTGAGTATGCGCAAGAATCCTCAACATGAAACTTAAATCCAAGGTTTGGTGGTGTTTGGAGGATATAATCTAGTAAAATGGAGGTTAAAGATGAGATAGGGGTGTACGGCTCTCTAACAAGTCTCTTAGT